AGACAGCCTCTTCCCAATATGCGTTTTTGCAATTTGCATATATGCAAAAACGCATAAAAACGCAAACACGCACACCGGTAACCTCTTGCCTGCATGGGTCTTCACATTTGCATAAACATGCAGGAACGCATGAAAACGAATGCATTTTGTCCGACCGAGCTGAGCCGAGTATTGTAATTTCTGCATGTGTTTTCCCTTGCTATGGAAATATGCTCACAAAATTGTGCTATAAAAGGGGCATGCCAGAGTAGCAACATCAGTATTTTGTTTTATACACCTGCTGAGCGGTCGCTCATTACTGCTTCTCATTCACTGCTTCTTATTATTTTCGCATTCACTGGATCCTTGCTTTTGGCAATCAATGTAAGGCGGTTTTGTTTATGGTCCGAGGCTTCGATGCCTGCTTGCATTATTGTTGTTTGCCGTCTCGCAGTCAATCTATCATTACTGTTTGGATATCTAGATTCGCTGCAATCCGTGGTTTGATTGTGCGGCCAGCAATTTCTGCAGTCACTTTGACCAATCGTACCTGCTAGTCAGCGAATCTGACATTCGTTCTGTTCTCTGTAAGAATTACGAGTTCAGTGATTCTCAGGAGGATTTAGCCATTTCTGAGATGTGCTTGGTGTGAGTTGAGCATCTCTATCTCATCGTAAATGTTGCCATTTCTAGACGGTGATGTAGTACTTTACCGATTATGATGGTATACATATGTTTAAGGATCACGATATCACAAGTATCATAATAAGTATTATAATAAGTACCATGAGAATCACTGCCACTTTTGGGCTAAGATTTAGTACTTTGTCGAGTGCGACGGTACACATATAAGTATCGATAATTATCGTGATACCACAAGTATCTTAATACCAATGATAAGTGTTATAATATGTATCGCAAGAAGCATTACCGCTTCCGAACCATGACTTTATCATATATGTATATAAAGTATCGGGTGGATATCATAAAATCATGAGTATCACTAGTATCATGATAAGTATTAATACTAAATATCATAATCATAAGATGCATTGATAATCGATTTTAACTAATCACAACTTGCAAAAATCATCTTCTTTCATCCTCCACTTGCTCAGTTTGGGCCAAGGAAAGAAGTGGATGTTTTTCGCCTTTTTCTGATTCCTAGGCCTGGGCCTGGATCACTACGATAGCATGCAGGCACAGGTGGGTCCAGACGGACTCTTGGGGAGGGAGGAGGAGGAGAGTGGAGCTCCTGAGCGAAGGGGACAGGGTGGGAGGGAAGGCGACGGGGGGTGGGAGAGAGCTCGTCTCATCCTGGAACTAGAAATAGAATTGTTGTAACACACTGCTACTTAGAGTTACTTTAAGCTTTAGTTTACTTTAGTTTTAGCTTTAGACCCGAACTTTTGCGGCACTGGTGCCTGTGCCGCTGGGAAGGCAGGGGGAGAGGAAAGAGCCACCTGCCCCTCCCCCCTCCCTGGATCTGTCTATGCATGCAGGCAGGCACTTGCCACAGTGCGTTTTTCGTGACCCAGTTATGGGGACGTGATTGGGCATCGATGCACTATGGTAGTTTCGGGAAATAACAGTTGCATAGTGGTTGTTGTTGTTGGGAATTTTGGCTAGGTGGGTGGCCTGCTCCTTTTTTGTGTTGGCATG